GGTGCCCCAGTGTCCCTGGCCCTGCCTGTGCTGGGAGGGAGCGGTGTAGGGCCAAGCCTGAACCAGACCCCTTCCATCCGGGCGGCCCCTGGGCCTCGTAATGCTCGCGTTTCCCTTGCAGGGGATACTTCTGGTGTATGACATCACCAACCGCTGGTCCTTCGACGGCATTGACCGGTGGATCAAGGAGATCGATGAGGTAGGTGTGCTCCTGTGGACACCCCCTTCCAGGGTCACCCCATCCCCAGCATGTGCGCTCCCATCCCCCATGAGGAGACTCTGTTACCCCCATTTTCAGCCCCTCCTGTGACCCGGCTCTGCATCTTCTCATGCACTGACTGCTATGGCACTCTCCCAGTGGGGTCCTGTGCCCCAAGGAGCCCCACCTCATCAGAGAAGCAACAGAGGGCCCCCCGGGGGGGCAGCGCAGAGAGGGGGCGTCCCACGTTCTTGCCTCTGCTGAGTCCTGTGCGCTACCTAGCATGCACCCGGCGTCCCCCGGATCCTGGTTGGGAACCGGCTGCACCTGGCCTTCAAGCGGCAAGTCCCGACAGAGCAGGCGCGTGCCTACGCGGAGAAGAACTGCATGACCTTCTTCGAGGTCAGCCCACTGTGCAACTTCAACGTCATTGAGTCCTTCACTGAGCTGTCCCGCATCGTGCTTATGCGGCACGGCATGGAGAAGATCTGGAGGCCCAACCGAGGTGAGGAGTGTGCCCAGTGGGGCCGGCTGTGGGGCTGGGGGTGGGGCTCAGGAGGGGTGGGGCCTTGACTGACCTGTCCCACCCCCAGCAGGCAGACAGGTTCCAGGCCCCGCCTCCCAGGCCCTTGGACTCAGCAGTCCCACCAGAGCAGAGCTGCCAAGGTGGCCAGGGAAGCTCCGTAGTCGCCCAGGCTGAGGGGCTGGAGGTCTAGCCACCGAGCCCTGCAGGGTCTCCCAAGGGCACCTCTCGGTGTGCCGTGGCTCCGGGGATGAAACGGGAGCAGGGCGTCCAGTGGCTGCTCTCTGCATGCCTGGGGCAGGGGCAGGGTCTGGGGGTGTTCTGGTTCAGGAACCCTGGGAGCTTTGCAGACCTCCCCAATCCCCAGCCCCCTCTAGGCATCAGTTGTGCTTACCTGCTGGCGAGATTGCCACTGGCCACCGAGATCTCCCCGCGCCTCATGCCCACCTGACCATGGTCTGATCCCCTCCACACGGTCTGACCCCGCCCCCCCATCTTCTGACCCCCACCTGCAGTGTTCAGTCTGCAGGACCTCTGCTGCCGGGCCATCGTTTCCTGCACCCCCGTGCACCTCATCGACAAGCTCCCGCTTCCTGTCACCATCAAGAGCCACCTCAAGTCCTTCTCGATGGCCAATGGCATGAACGCTGTTATGATGCACGGGCGCTCGTACTCACTGGCTACTGGAGCAGGGGGTGGCGGCAGCAAGGGCAACAGCCTCAAGCGGTCCAAGTCCATCCGACCACCCCAGAGCCCACCCCAGAACTGCTCGCGGAGCAACTGCAAGATCTCCTAGCTCGGCAGGCTGTGCCCCATCCAGATGCACTCTGGGAGGGCTCACGCTTAGGGAGTGCTCCCGGCTGGGCGCTGGGCCCAGCGCTGTGTGCAGGGAAAACTTTGGCCACACAGTCCCTCCTGGGAAGCGTGGGGATGCCCCTAGTAGGCTGGTGGTCTCAGCCAGACCAGCTCCACAGGACAGTGGAGGACCATGCTGCTGGGATGGTGGTGGATCACGCCCAGGACCCTGAGGTGTGGCTGAGAAGACCCCTGGAGGCGGCTCTGCGTGGCCCCAGCCGTGAGGGGGCTGTCCCTGGGGACTGGGAGACCAGGTTCCCTTTCTTATTTATGTAAAAGAAGATTCACCCCTTTTGTACATTTTTAAAGGACCAGCAGGGAAGCCTCCGTGCAACCACGCAGTGAGCCCATGACAGCTGAGGGGACGAGCTTTGGGACATTGGGAGAGAGGAGGTGTTTGAGGCAAAGATGGGAAAGAATCCACCATCGAGGCTTGAATCTGAATTCACATAACACTTCACATGGGGCCATGGGCTGTGTGGGGGCCAGTGGAGAACATGTGAAGCTTTGGGCAGCAATCTTGGACTCCCCAGCTACATGCATTGGTCTTTCTGAGCATGGTGGTCAGTGTGCCCGCCATGTGCTGAGGGTGCGGGCCCCAGTAGTGTGCGTGGTGGAGCTGCAGTTTCCAGGGCTCCCGCCGGCCTTCCTGGATGACATCCGTGTGTGTCATGGAGCTACGGGTTCAGAGCCAGGGGCGACTCGCAGGTTCCCACGTTGCTTGGAAAAGGGGAAGCGGGGTGCACCCCCCACGTCCCTCCCCAGCTCCCTCTCTCCCCACGTGGGGGCCATCAACCTTCCTTCTGTGATTCTGCACCTTCGGTTCCGTTTACATCTGTTGCTGCATGAAACTGGCTCAGCGTCTCTCCGAGTTGACACAGAGCTATTTGTAGGCAGTGCCCACTGGGGCCACCAGGCCCTGGGCAAGTCTGGACTGAGCCTGCCCCACTTGCCTCCTGGGGTGTCTAGACCCTTCTCTGGCCAGCTTCTGTCTTCTGACCTTGGGTGTGATCCCATAGCCGCTCCTCACCCAGTTTCACCCCTCTGTGAGGTCACATGTCACCAAAACCTTTCTCACCCATTTCTTAATGGTGGACGCTGAGCCCCTCCTCAAGGACCCACCGGCCAGCCTGAGCTGGAGGCCTGGCCTCCTTCTGTCCACCTGGCTGGTGACGTGGCCACAGGTCACTGGTGCTCAACTCTACCTCCTGCCCACGGGCCCTTCCCTGGCCTGTGACCCCCCTTGCTCGGGACTGTTCTGTGGTGGGTGCCCTGAGGGCTGCTGTTACGGGAGGTGAGGTGGAGAGGGGCTGCAGCGCCTGTGAGCAGGATCCTGGCTGAGGCCTGGCTGCTAGCAGGGTTGGGTGGGCAGAGGAGGCCCCACCCATCCTGTCCTGCCAGCAGGAGCCCCTTCTTTGGACATTGTTTTGAGGAAACGGACGATCCTGCATTCACCATTATCAACACTACCCTTTGCTGCTGTCCACACTTGCACTATTCCTGGGCTCGTTTTGGACAGTTTTAGTTTCTTTGTGTAGTAAACATAATTCAGCTCTGGCCTCCAGGCTGCGTTGAGTGAATGAAAGTCTGGCTTTAACCCACTGGGCTGAGTGGCAGTTGGAGGGGTGGCACTGCAGAGGGCTGCTTTGTTCCTGCTCCATCCCCCATGACTGCCTTGCTGAGCTCCGAAGGGTTTCAGGGCTCCCTGCGTTTCTAGGTGGACCTGGAAGCAGCTCTCCCCAGCTGTTCCTGCCTGTGCAGTAGTTCAACCCATGGCCGCTGGGACCATCTGCTGCCTGCTGCCCCCAGGGCCGGAACCTGGGATACTGAGCCCTCACTAGTCCTGGGCAGGGCCTACCAGGTTCCCTCTGCTGCTTGAGCAGGTGGTGGACCAGAAGGACTGTGCCCCGAGACTCACCACAACTGAGAACCCAGGCCTTGGGGCCAGCACCCTCAGTGGGAGAGCCACCCACTTAAAAGGGTATGTAGGGCTCAGCTCAGGAGTGCGGCAGACGCCCTGGAGGTCAGCGGGTATGGGGTTAGGGGGGCAGTTGCTCTGAACGTAGCCCACACGCTTGGAGACCACTGCCTGTGGCTGTGGCTAATACAGGGCAGGGGACCCATGGTGTCCTCCACACCTGGGGTGTCTCTTGGCCTCATTTGGACCAAACCAGGCTCTTATTACCCTTCCTCTTAGGTCAGCCAGTCAGACACAGGGTCACAGGACACTCTCCCATCCAGTCTCAGAGCAGGCACTCCTGGGGCCCCAGACCCTTGGGAAAAGCACATTCTGGCAGTGGCTGCGTTTGATCTCCCCGCTGCCCCCACGCCCAGGAGGAGCTTCCATCCTTCCTGAATGTCACAGGGGCCTGGAGGGGCAGGCGAAGACCTTTGGGTCCTTGCAGTTCCTTAAGCTCTCCTGGGACACGCTGTTCTCAGGGTGCTCTTAGATGCCCTTGATCTCTCTCAGGACTGCGCTGCCCCACGCAGGGCCACACACAGCCTCTGAGATTCAGATCAGTCCAAGTAAACACCCTCACTGCGTCTCTAGTGTCCACAGCCCTTGTGACCGGCGCCTGTGCCGGCCAGCACACACAGACCATTCCCTCCCTGCCCACTGCTCTAGTACCCCACTTTTTTGGCAATCACCATAACCCTTTGAGGAAGGGCCTGGACCAGGAGACAGGTGCCTGGGTTTCAGAAGGGGCGGGAAGCAGGCTCTCTGAATGCAAAGTTCTGCCATGCCTCAGCCTCCCCCAGGCCGTGCCCATCAGGTACCTTTGTGCTGCAAAGGCTTCACCTCCATCAGGAAGGGTTTAGATTTGACCCCAAGACCTGCTGGCACAGTGTGACCATGAGAATGGGTATGGGGAAGGTTGTGGAATCTTCCTTGGGAAGGGAGCAGAACCCCACCGTTGCTGGGCTTAACACAGAGCCCCTGCACCTTTGCCTGGACGTAGTGACTACCAGGTGGCAGGCCAGCCTGGCCTGCTCTGGGGAAGACCCAGGCCCAGGGTTGGATGGGGGAGCCAGAAGGGTTGGCCAGCCCTGCCCCCTCTTGCAGGGCAGCTTTGATCCCAGGGCCTGGAGGGAGGAGGGGCTCCGGTTACAGCGTTTCCCCCTCCTCTCTCCGGCCGGAGCCGCCCTTCTCCGCCCCTTGGTGACCCTCATGGCCAGTGTCTCTGTGCTCCTGGGCGCTGGCCCCTCCCCAGCCTTCCTCTCCTCTCCCCGCCCCCTGCCCTGAGCTGACCAGAGGGGCCAGGAGGGGGAGGGGCCGGTGCCACAGGCACAGACTCAGCTCGGAGAGACCCGGAACCCACCCAGCCTGAGACTTGAGCGTCTGCTGTGAGCTCCAACCTTGGGGGACAGAGGGGAGTCCAGGGGCAGGGGGTAGGGGCACCGATCACAGGTCTGGGAGGGTGTATGCCTGCAGGGAGTGGGGATCGGCAGGGCGTGAGGAGGGGCTAGCGGCCACACCCCCCACCCCCTGGTCCCTCGGTCCCCATGCCGGCCCTGAGGCCACTCCTGCTGCTGTTGCTCCTGGTTGGGCTGACTGCGGGGGCCAGCCTGCCGCCGGGGCCCGGGAGCCACCCAGGTGTGTGCCCCAACCAGCTCAGCCCCAACCTGTGGGTGGATGCCCAGAGCACCTGTGAGCGTGAGTGCGTCAGAGACCAGGTGAGCACAGGCACTGTCACCACTGGCCCAGCTTGGGGGGAGACAGACTACATTGGGGGCCCCTGGTCAGCATGGGAGAAGCCAGGACCTCCCCCACGCCCCAGGCCTTGCCTGCAGAGGGGACCCTCAACCCTGGAAGTCACTTCCTCCTCAGGGTCCCCACTCTTATGCTGGGGTTTCACACTGTGCTCCATATGAGGGGCCCTGGGGACAGCCGCTCCGTCTTTGCCTTCATGTCTGAAAACTGGAGGCCCCCTTCTCACTTCTCAGACCTGCCCACCCCCACCCTGCAACTAGCTGTTTTCAGGTCCAGCGGGGCAGAGAGGCGGGAACCTGTTTGGAGGTCCTGCCTTTGCAGCCCGGCCCTGCACCACTGCAGTGGCCTTGAGCACTTTTACGTCCTCCCGAAGCCTCAGTGTCCTCATGTGTATGATGGGATAACAAAAAAAGCTGCTCTGGGGGCCAGGGGTCTGAGGATTCCGTGAGGTCCTGTGAGATGACCTATGTGATGGGTGCGCCGGGCAGTTGTAGTTCATTGTCCAGATGGAAAGCAAACCTGCAAACCTGCACAGCTCCCAGAAGGGAAACAGATTCAGGGAGAGGCAGCAGGGGACTCACCCCTGCCCTCGCTGGGCATGCTGGGGCAGGGCTGAAGGGGGAGGGGTATTTGGGTGTCCGCTGAGCTGTCCGCTCCCGCCCCCTCCACAGGACTGCGCTGCCACTGAGAAGTGCTGCACCAACGTGTGTGGGCTGCAGAGCTGCGTGGCAGCCCGCTTCCCTGACAGCGGCCTGGCCACACCCAAGCTGGCGGCCTCATGTGATGGCTTCGTGTGCCCACAGCAGGGCTCCGACTGCGACATCTGGGATGGGCAGCCTGTGTGCCGCTGCCGTGACCGCTGTGAGAAGGAGCCCAGCTTCACCTGCGCCTCGGACGGCCTCACCTACTACAACCGCTGCTACATGGATGCCGAGGCCTGCCTGCGTGGCCTCCGCCTGCACGTTGTGCCCTGCAAACATGTCCTCAGCAGGCCACCCAGCAGCCCCGGGCCCCCCGAGACCACCGCCCGCCCGACACCCGGGGATGCCCTGGTGCCGCCTGCCCTCTACAGCAGCCCCTCCCCACAGGCAGTTTATGTAGGGGGCACAGCCAGCCTCCACTGTGACGTCAGTGGCCGCCCGCCACCTGCTGTGACCTGGGAGAAGCAGAGTGACCAGCGGGAGAACCTGATCATGCGGCCAGACCAGATGTATGGCAACGTGGTGGTCACGAGCATCGGGCAGCTGGTGCTTTACAATGCCAGGCCAGAGGACGCCGGCCTCTACACATGCACCGCACGCAATGCCGCTGGCCTGCTGCGGGCCGACTTCCCGCTCTCCGTGGTCCAGCGGGAGCCGGCCGAGGACGGGGCCCCAGTGGCCGCCGCCGCAGCCCAATGCCTGCCCACCACGCAGGCCTGTGTCGGCACCCCCTCTGGCCAGGTCCTCTGGCACTTTGACCCGCAGCGGGGCGGCTGCATGACCTTCCCAGTTGGCAGCTGTGCCGGGGGTGCCCAGGGCTTCGAGACCTACGAGGCGTGCCAGCAGGCCTGCGCCCGTGGCCCCAGGGACGCCTGCGTGCTGCCGGCCGTGCAGGGCCCCTGCCAGGGCTGGGAGCCGCGCTGGGCCTACAGTCCGCTGCTACAGCAGTGCCACCCCTTTGAGTACAGCGGCTGCGAGGGCAATGGCAACAACTTCGAGAGCCGCGAAAGCTGCGAGGACGCCTGCCCCGTACCGCGGACACCGCCCTGCCGGGCCTGCCGTCTCCGGAGCAAGCTGGCGCTCAGCCTGTGCCGCAGCGACTTCGCCATCGTGGGGCGGCTCACGGAGGTGCTGGAGGAGCCTGAGGCGGGCGGCGGCGGCATCGCTCGCGTGGCCCTGGACGACGTGCTCAAGGATGACAAGATGGGCCTCAGGCTCTTGGGCACCAAGTACCTGGAGGTGACGCTGAGCGGTATGGACCGGGCCTGCCCCTGCCCCAACGTGACGGCTGGCGACAGCCCGCTGGTCATCATGGGCGAGGTGCGAGACGGCGTGGCCATGCTGGATGCGGGCAGCTACGTCCGCGCGGCCAGTGAGAAGCGCGTCAAGAAGATCTCGGAGCTGCTAGAGAGGAAGGCCTGCGAGCTGCTCAACCGCTTCCAAGACTAGCCCGCCCACACGGCCCG